TCTCCAGAAACACCGATCACTTGAAACGCTAAGGCGGGACTTCCCGTCTCACCCCGCCCCGCGGTCGTTCCCGCCAGTTACCTTCGCCGCGGGGCCGGCGCCGCGCCCAGCCCTAGCAACGGCCTTAGCAACGGCCGGGCTCCTCCCTCCGGTGTCGCCCGGAAAGCGCTCCGCCGAGCCAGGGGCGCGATCACGGCCGGGCGCGCGCCTCGGGCTCGGGCGGAGCGGAAGACGCGTGGAGCTGTGCGAGGACCCGCGGGCTTTGCAGGTCTGAGTCCCACTCGGGTCCCTCGTTCCCGTCGCCGCGGCTCTGTGGGGACCAGCGGTCTGACCGGCGCCTCGCGGCCGCGGGAGTGGACGTTCCGTGGCCCGGCGCTAGCGGAGGTCTTGCCAGCTGTCGCTTGTGAGCGGGGCCCAGGTCCCTGAACAGGCGCCTGAATTTTTAGGCTCTTGCGGGCCCTTTGGGAAAAAGGCACTCAAATTTTTCCTCAAAAAAAAAAAAAAAAATTTCCCCCTAACAATTATTTTCGGTGCTTTCCGCCTCAAGAGAAGTTTGTCCTGGCAAAGTTAGTCTTCTAGGAACACTATTGTTTCTTATTTAGCGTTTGGAGTGGTTTGGGGGCATTGGTTATCACAGAAGGGGAAACTTGGTATAGTATGCCATGCAGTGTATTTAAAATAGTAAGATTATGATTACATAATAAGCAGAGAGTCAGTTCCTTATGTTTGAATTATTTCTTGGGAATGTAGGACAGGTTAGAAAGTGTATTAACACTGCAAACTGCCAATTCCGGGAAGTTGGATGATAAAATCGCCGCCTGACTCAAAACCACAATGTTTTAAGAATCATTTCCGTTGGAACTCCAGCGTATCATGAAAAACTAAGTCAAGACAGTCTTTCTACCACATGGTGGGTGGTGTGTGTGTTGGGGGTGCGGGAGGAGGGGGAGCTTTTAGTCCTGAATAAGAAAGACGATACCTTCGATTTTAAAAAATGGATGTTGGACCTGTACGTATGTGATCAGGTTCTTAAAATACTCTAGAAAAAGAAAAAATTGCAGTGGCTTATATCTACTACTGAATTGGTCCAAAGTAGAGGATAGAGGAGTTTTATACGATGTTCCATTGAGAAGTGAGTCAACTTACTTGTAGCTAGGAGTCTTTTCTATTATTTTGGAAAAACAAAACAAAACAAAAAACAAAAATCTGCCAGGCTACCACTTCTGCCAGGCTGCAGATGGCCCATAAAGGTTTGCTACTTCAGTAGCAGATGCATAGTGGATGCTTCTTTTTCAGAATGGTTTTGATTTAGTTAACAAGTATTGGTTGAGTTCCTCATGCTGCGTAAGACACAGAGATAGGAGAGATCAGTAAAGAATTCTGCTCTTAAACAACTGACTGCTAGGAGAGATACTTCACTGAAAGGTAACTCCAAATTAAAGCACGTTTTTCCATGTGAAAAACGTGGAACGGGTAATAAGTGCACAAAAGTAAACAGGTGTAACAGATTGCCATAGGTCATCTAGAGTCCTGACTTTGGAACTAAAAATAGAGGATTATGTGCAAGGTAGAATTTGATGCAACTTGATAAGTAATTAATTTGGGGTGGAGGGAAGAGGGTAGAAGAAGTACAAAATTTGTTTTCAACCCAAGTTGCAGAGTGATGGATGCAGTATCAAGGTAAAAATGTTTGTTAGTTCCTTAGGAATAAAGTCATTTTGTGTTTTCTAAGGAACCCCCACGACTCCACTTGTATTTCCCACACATATTTGACGTTAACAGGTGTGTTTTGCAAGTTTCGAAACATCATTTTGCAACAAATGATTTGTACACATTTGAGGCCAGCTGTTGGTTAGGTCAGGACAGATACCCTGGTCATATGGTTTTAGAGACCTTTGGAGGGAGCTACCATCACTTAGAACTGCAGGCCCCTTTTGTGTAGCCATCTCAGCCATAGGTGAGAGTGTGTAAGTTAGGCAAGGGGAGAACTATAGACATTTACCTTTCACTGTCTCAAGGTATCTGTGTTGTTTGTATTTGCGGAGGAAGGACATTTTATATAAGGCTTTGCTAGTATTCATTTACTTACATAGACAGAAGGCCAGGTGAAATACAGGGGAATATTTCTGAGGCATCTCAGGAGGTGTGCACTTGAAGACTCTAGAAAAACTCACCAGTAGTTTCCCATTGAATGTCAGGCAACCACACTGACTTTTATGACATCCCTGGAAACTGCATCCTTCCCCACTATGCCTGGGCCTTGTGGTGCAAACCCCTAAATAGCTACTGGAATACTCAGGGAAATGGAGTCAGATTGAATCAGTCCAATCCAGTTTCCTTTTAGGATGAGTCCCATGATCTGGATAAATCAAGATTATTACAGCCTAAAAATCTTTCTAAGAACCTCAGGCAACACCAGAAAAAAAACCAAACCAAGATGATTTAGGTGACAATTGGCTTCCTAAGTACAGTGATGAGACCTCTATTGGCTTGTGAAAGTTGACCTTCTGTTGGCCAACAGAGGGTTTGTAGCTCCAGTTTCTGGAAGCTAATAGGATCTTTTGCCAGACTTTACAGGCTGCTCCTATCCTTAGAATGAATTTTTGATCTTAGCCAGGTTTTCTTTACCTGGATTTGTAGTGAACTCTAGACATCTGCAAACCACCTGAAATTGTGTGCAAAACATTGCGTCTGTAGTGCAATTTCTAGAGATAAGTTCCAAGACTCATGCAATCTTAAAAGCATATGAACGGTGGCAGCTTAATATGCTGCACCTTCCTACTCATTGAGGGCATATTGACAAAGAAAAAAGCCATTTTTAGGTAGATGGTTTAGAGTGGAGATCAGAAATAAATGTTTTCCATTTATGAGGCAAAAAGAAGAGATTGGACCATCATCCTCAAATACCACTTTCTCTGAGCAACCAAAATGTAAATCTTCCTAATCAGTACACATCAGAAATATTTATTGTGTTTGGGTAAATTTGGCAAATATATTTTACTTTTTCTTCAGGGATCAGAATTTTTTTTTCTTTGCATCTATTTGGGTCTCAGGCTCCCTGGGATTTACAATCTATAAAAAGCTCCTGATGACTAATAAATTAGTATCACTAACTTCTTATTAGTAAATTATGTTGTATATTATGTTCCACTGGACTCTTTGTTCACTTTCTGTTTGGGAGACCACAGAAAGTTTCCTGTTGCAGTCACAGTGTTTCTCCTGTCAGTGTTTATACTCAGAGTGCCTGGAGCCTCATAGTTAAACACCACAATGCCATAAGACTTTAGAATAGGAGAATCATTTTACAGCTTTGGAATGCATATCAAATCAAAAGGGCACCGCTCTCATTTCTCCCTCGAAACATATTGTGCTTACAGAGTATTTGAATAACAGTTTTGGCAGCCACCATCCTTATTTGAAGGAAATATTTAAGTGGGAAAGTTATTTTACTGCTTTATCTCTAGAACTGAAGACTGAATAGTGTATAGTTTTGAAAAGCAGTATGAATTCTCAGAGTGGGTGAACATTGATGTTATCCTGTAAAATTTTAACATTTATAAGATTACACTTTAATCTTTATAAACATGTATTTCACCTTTTGGGATATTTTACAAATTATAATTGGTAATAGATGCCTCTCATTTTAATGAATGTTTAGTTGTATTTAATGTGTGTTTTAATTTAAGTTGGCAAGGAATATATCTTTTAGAACATAACCAACTAAGTTTTACTGGTTTCACTGGGACCTTGTGTTTTCATTAGCATTCAGGTTGAAACTTGATGTCATGTAATGTCAATTGAAAGTCAGAGCTTACAAAGTTGAATATACTTCTGTCTGATACATTAAACCATTACATTCCTAGTATAAAACAAAATTACTATTACTGGAACAAAAAGAGTCACTGAAAAATAGATTGTTAGTACCTAAACTTTATATTTGAAATAATTTTTCTAGGACAGGACCTTCCTATTTTTGTGGAAGGAATAACCTAAAAGGGTAACATTTTGTTTGAGTTTATTGCTTTTTAATTTTGTACTTCAGAACATGCTAATTTAGTGGTTTAAAAAACTTACTAACATTAGTCAATAGTAAAAATAGCATATAGTTGTGAGTTAAATTGAGTAATTTTCTTTGTGGAAATGTTTCCTGTTTTTATTTTGCCCCCACTTTTTTTTTTCAGTGCACCTTTGTTGTGTCTTAGAAATAGACATTAAACTGGTCTGAATGAAAAATGTCTCTCAATACACCTATATTTCTCAAAGAAAGGGAAGAAGACAATTCAAAATTTGAAGAAATACAGCAGTCACAAACTACTTCCATAGCTGCAGAAGATCCTCTTCAAAACCTGTGCTTAGCATCTCAAGAAGTTCTTCAAAAAGCTCAGCAAAATGGAAGATCAAGATGTCTCAAGTGTGGTGGTTCAAGAATGTTCTACTGCTACACATGTTACGTCCCAGTTGAAAACGTACCTATTGAACACATACCATGTGTGAAGGTTGGTAAGAAATTTAAATTTTTGGAAGTAGGAAAATAGATTTTAAAAACTCATCTCATATATGCCTACTCTAACATAACTGATAAACTTGATATATGACATCATTATGGAAGTGGGCTATATTAATAGGCAGTTTAATCCTACAGACTGGTAAACCTGTTTGATTTTTCTTTTCTCTGGAAAAAGAAACATACTGCCAAAACACGTGGGTCTGAGATGAATGCTATTGTTTTTAATGAAATCAGTTACTTTTTCAATTAATGATTATAATTCGTTTACAACATAGGAAAAAGTGTGGTATAAACATGGACACTATAAGAGGCAAATTTACAGACGACATGAAGGAGCTTCAGGAACTACCTCAGGGCCTTGGACTGCTCTTTGAGAAAACATATCCAGAAGGAACTAGGGTTGATTTTTGCTTAGGCAAAATCATGAGCTTAGCCCCATCTTATATGTGGAGACGGAGCACATGTCAATACCAAAACTAAACTAAACTAAAATTGAAAAGACTAAGTAAGACCTGCTCTTTGGGCTGTGTTATAATTGTAGTGTATTTTCACTTGTCTAACAGTGACCTGAGCTTTAGGAGTAAATCAAATAATGTAGGGAATTTGCTGCCTATTAGGACTTTAGAGAGACTGAATTCTACACATGGACCCACTAGAACCTGCTAGTAAGAAATAAGTTGTAACTGTACTTAAAGACACTTAAGGCGGTGATGTTGAGGTTCACTTACATTTCAAGTAAGAAAAATACTTTAACATTCCTATTTTGTTACTTGAATTTCAGTTTAGCCTGTATGTCATCTTGGTAAGTCCACGATCTCCCCAGAGGTCTAAGATCACTCTAATACGCTATTGGAAAGTTTACTGGCCAAGAATAAATAAGCATGGAACTTAATCAGCTTCATAGTTACCTCAGAAAAACAGAGCTTGAGGACAATTCTTTTTAAGCTTTCCATTCTTTTGCGAGAATGTTACATTTCAAAGCATAGTTTTGGGGATATACACAGAATTATTTCATCTGTTTATATCATAGCCACATAAAGAAAGTGTCCCATTGAAGATTTATCTTAAGATATATGTTGTTCAAAAAAGATTAAAGGTCAGAATAACAGAAGTTAATCATATATTGGTAGGGCTAATATTTCCATAGAAATTTAATAATAGAGGATTATTTTTGAAGTCAGTGACTTTATGTCCACTATTTAATCGAAATGACTCAAAACACTATACCAAGAGTTTGATCAGCTCTAAATGGCCTACTGGACAGTGCAAAGTTTTCTGAATTAATTGCCATATATAAATAAAATTCTATATGTTAATATATATTAATAGTAATAACTCTATAAAATATTCTTTCTAATTTCTACTTTATTTTTATTTTTATAAATCCTTCAGCACTTGCTTTTAGATAGCCTTCTTGGGAAGGGTTCCCAAGTGATGAGTAAATACCTTCCAAGCTATAAATTTTAGTTTAGGGAATAAATTCATAAATATCTTTTTAATGCAGAATATGATTTTTTAAATGTCATGAACAATTCATAAGCAAAGGTAAAAGTTACTTTTGTTTGTTTTGGGTACTGAGAGTGGAGTCGGAAAGGTACTCTTTTTGCTATTATTTTTTTTTTAATCATAAGGTAAAAGAAAACTTCATCTTTATTGTAGTCTTAGAATTGAAAAGGCTCTCTTTGGGAAAGTTGTTCATCACATGGGAAAAGACTTAGGGTTTTCTGCATTTTGGTAAATTTGGGCAGAAAATTTCATGGTGAATCTCAAATCTCTCATAGGAAACATAGGTGTTAGAGAACAGATTAATGTTCTTTAAACTTTTGAAAACAGAACATTTCTACTTGAACTAAGTCTGGTCAGCTCTACTGGTGTTACTCTGTACCCTGTCATTATTTAAGGTGTATCTTCCTTTGAAATACATGAACTAGAGCACTAACATATATCTCTATACCTCCATGATTTGATCCAAGTCTGGGCTTTTGTTTCATAGTATCAGAATTTTCAGGCTCAGTTAGGGAGACCTAAAGACCTGGGCTGGCTCCCAGGAATACTTGAGCACAAATTTTGCATAATTGTTCTATAGTTACAGATGTTAGTCCATAATAGGTTAGTTTCATGATTTATAAAATACATTAATAACACTCAGTCCTGGATTCTTGATTTAAATGATATTCTTCAAAGATAGCCAGCTGATCAGAAACATTGATGGTCGCCTTTGGAATCTTCTGCTCTGCTCATCAGTCATATAAGAAAGTCAGTTTTATTAGTAATGGAATGCTTTGTCATGATCTGCTTTCTTTTTCTTCCTTCCTCTTTCCCACCTTCCCTGGGCTAAGATAATGCTGACCTGGTACTGAGAGACCCTGGGGAAAGGGAATGTAGTGTCACCTGGCCCTGAGCGTCAGGAGGAAAGTCTGATGTAGAGTTCAGCCTCAAGTAGACTGATGTAAAATCATTTGTGAACTGCCTACTGAAGTGTTAAATTTTCTGTAACTAGAAGTTGGTTTGATGATTTGAAGTAATTGACGTCAACTTAAAAATGATTATTGGGCCTAAGTGGGAAGGTAGGAGACTTGGGGTTTGAGACACTAGATTGAAAACTATTTGGGTTACATATTTATTGCCCTTCTGGGCATATACTATGTTCCCACACAATCATCCTGAAAGATAAAATATATACAATTGGGAGCAACTGATCCTTTAAAAAACAGGTCTGGAATTAATGATACACACAACATGGATGAATCTCAGAATAATTATTCTCAGATGCAAAGAGTACATATTGTATGACTTCATTTATACAAAATTCTGGAAAATGCAAACTAACCAATAATGATAGCAGATCAGTGGTTGCCTAAAGACTGTGGGTGGTCGTTGATGGGGGAAGGGGAAGGAGGGAGGCACCAGAAGACTTTTGAGGGTGACGGGTATGTTCATTGTCTTTATTGTGGTGATGAGTTCAAGGGTGTAGTGTGTTAAAACTCATTAGATTGTACACTTTAAATATGTGTAGTTTATTATATCAATTTTATCTCTTTAATAAAGCTTTTTTTTTTTTTAAAAAGCAAACAAGAAAAGTAGTTTTGTACTCCAGGGTAAAACAGCTGTGTGCCCCAGTGTAAATACCTAGAATCTTGCCTTTTAGTGTGGAATGGGAGCTGGAAGTGCTTATCATAACAGATGAGTCGTTTGAACTCTAGAGTGAAGAAACCATCTCAGAGAGAGTTTCTTATATGCAATGGGGGAGATATGACTCGGCTTTTATTTTCATATTCATGACTGAGTGTGGGACTTACATGGAACACAGAAAACTAAACCAAATAAGTCAGCAAAATAATAGAAAAATTTATCTCAAGAAATTTGTCAGATAATGTTATTTTGGATTGAAGCAGGATATAATTCATAATGAGTAAGTAATGAAACCTTAAGGAAAATAGGTAAAATGATTTTGAAGAGAGTTATTTTTTATATAAAGTGCACCTCCTGTAACTATTGTGTTACTGTTTTTCCAATTGATAACAAATTTCACTTGTGCTGTTAGTCATGTGGAGAATCATGATGGTAGCAATCAAAGATAATACTTTTGACCTCAAATGATTTTTAAGAAACAAAATTTTAACTTGAATTTTAGATATAAAACTTTTGCCCAAACTTGTATGTCCTTTTAATGTATTGTCAAATTAACAAACCTAAAGCTTGTAGAAATTATAAAAAATGTTCTTGGCATAGATGTTGAAATGCAAGGAATAGGACTCAATGCGTATGTAACTTTAATGAAAATGACATTGGACCTTTGCTTTAAGAGTTAAATAAGTTAAATGATGCTAAATGAGTTGAAAATAGATGTTTTATTACTGGACTAACAATATTGATTGAGGAGTAAATTTAGGTTTGCTTTATGAGTCTTACCATTCTTAATAGTCTGGTCTAGAAAAGTATGATTTTCAAACCATAAGTGTGTTTATAGGAACTTAGTGTGGCCTTGCTGTTTAAGCTTTAAAGACCATTTTTATTAACATAAAAATTAGAATTTTTATATTTGTTTTGTTTGTCTTTTTTTTAATTTTAGCTTCCATTGGAGATTGACATCATTAAACATCCGAATGAAACAGATGGCAAAAGCACTGCTGTACATGCAAAACTCTTAGCACCTGAGTTTGTAAATATTTATACATATCCTTGTATTCCAGAATATGAAGAAAAGGACCATGAAGTAGGCAGTTTATTTTTTACAACTCTTCACATTGAATCTAAAAATGAATTTTAAACTCCATTGCCTACCTTACTTGAATATAATTTAGTATTTCTCTTAATGATCTAGGGTTAACCTTATGTAGCACTTAAACAATACTCAATTTACTTCATCGGTGTCTTCAGAGATCAAATGATTCTAGATTGTCGGGATTTTTTGAGTCTGTCTTTCCCCTTTTTGTGTATTGTCTGCATTCTTCTTCAGGTTTTTACTCTTTGCCAGTATTAGTAGGCCTGCTTTTACTTTTCTCCCTTCTTCATTCTTCTGCTTGTACCACACAGAGATAGTCTAATTTGATACCAACTGAGGAACCAGATTAGAAATGTTGGAATTTCTCCAAAAGAAAAAAAATAGACTAAGCTAGAAGGATATTTTTAGAAAATCTCCCTAAATTAAGAGTTTCAGCACATGGCTTTTGCAGTATTTCTTTTGGCTACGCAAAGGCCTTCTTTGCACATGTCTAGAGTCTTCATTGGTTTTCATAGAGTTGAAATGATCACATTAGTGAGATAGTACTGGTCTTGTGAAAAGTAATGTTGTGATAGATCTCAAAAAACTAGGCTTTGAGTACTTCTAAAAGAAGCATATGACCACTTTTAGGTCCTTTGGGGACCATTTGTAGGTGTGGTTAATATAGAAACAAAATGAAAAATTAATACATTCATTTGTTCAAGAAGGAACTTGGTAAGTTTTTCTTTCCTATCAATATGTTTATATTTTTTGGTTGTGTTTATTTAGAAAGTTGTGCTTGTAAATAATATCCGAATTTTGGGTCTAGGAATATATTTGTGTTTCCTTCTCCAGTCAACTAAATATCATTTATGTCAATTAAGTACAACACAGTGCTAGGTAATATAAAAAGACATGAAATGCTTATAGTCTAAGAAAATTAAGAAGCCCTGGACTTTGCTAATTGGATATGGGGGAAATAAAGGCATGCATTGTGAATGTTTGAAAAACTTTTATAATTTTGAAGTTTATAAATTCAAGATTTTTTGTTATTTTTATAATGTTAATTTTTTTCATATTAAAAATGATGCATGTTCATTAAAGAAAACTTGGGAAATAGAGAAAAATATGGGGGATAAAATACCCATGATTCTATTAATATTTGTTCATTTAATAAATATTTACTGGATACCTACTTTGTGGCAGGAGTTGTTTTCACAAGCGTTACATTATTTAAACCCACATCAGTGATGGCTATAAAGGCCGTGACACCATTTCCTCACTAGCATTGGCTGTATCATCTGTTTTATCTCTGCTTATTATATAAGTGAAAATGGTATTTAATTATTGAGCACTTTTCAATGATTCTCTTAAAATGTATCTCATGCTTCGTCTTTTATCTTATAAAATGTTATAGAGTTTAGTTTTTTTGATTCAAGGTACAATTAACTTGACTTTCATCAATAGGTGAATAACATATTTTGAAGTACAATAATATTTCTAGATAATATATTATGATTGTAAGTTAGTAGAGAAAACCCAAAAACTTTACCATACATATTAAGGAAACTCATATAATGGAACCTAATACTTATTTCTCTGATATTCAACATATTTTTTTCTCTTAAAGTTTTAAGTCAGAATTTATTCATTTTAAGATCATAATAACACACTACTAACTGAAGTTTCTTTGCTTTAGGTTGCTCTTGTTTTTCCTGGACCCAAGTCTGTCTCAGTAAAGGATATTTCTTTTCATCTACAAAAAAGGATTCAAAATGTTAGAAGCAAAAATGATGACCCTGACAAGCCGTCCATTAAACGCAAGAAAACTGAAGAACAGGGTTTGAATGACAGCAAGTGTGAAGACACAACACTGAAAAAAATTGTATTTATAGATAGCACCTGGAACCAAACAAACAAAATATTCACTGACGAGAGGCTTCAAGGTAAGAAAAAAGAGTTGTCTTTTTTTAAATTGCTCCTTCCCCAAACTTTCATTTCAAAAAACTTCACATCTACAGATATATTAGAAGAGTTGCATTGAATACCCATACATTTCGCCACATTTGCTCTATTTTTCCTTCTCTATCATATGTGTGTGTGTATACTTAGATATCATATAAATTTTTTGTTGAACCATTTGAATTTAAGTTGCAGGCTTTATAACACATCACCCTTTAATACCTAAGTGTACGTCTTTTAAGGATAATTGCATAATCACAATACTATTATTACTCTAAGAAAATAAGCAAAAGTTCTGTAATATCTAATATATAGTCCATATTCACTTTTGCAAATTGACCCACAGATATCTTTTATAGTTTATCTTTCTTCTGATGTAGCATGTAAACTCACATTGCATTTGGTCATTATGTCTCTTTAGCCTCTCTTAATGTGGCACAGTCCCCTGTTTTTGTTTTTCATGACTTAGACTTTTGAGAAGAGGACAGGTCAATTGTCTGAAAGTTTCATGATTATATTCATTTAAAATATTTTTGCAGGGATACTTCACATAAGGATAAATCCAGGGTTGTCCATGATGATTATAGTTTATATCTCTTGTTTTGGTGTAATTATTAATAGCATTCCCTTTTACTCTCAGAAGTGAAGCTATTTCACTGATAAATTATGTGGTTACCCTATTCATAGCTAAAGTTGTACACATCAAATCAGGAGGATATAATATAATATAAATTACTGCTGATAAATTTAATTCCTTGATTACAGTGGTGATTGCCAGATCTGGCCATTATAAAGGTTTATTTCCTTGATTGAAATACTAGTCATCTGCTGGGTGATGCTTTGAGACTGTGAACTATTGCCCAACTGCTTTTTACTGAGTGGTTTTAGTATGTATTGATGACTGTTGCCTAAATCAGTTACTGCATTAAGGATTGCAAAATGGTGAAATTTTAATGTTATTATTTATTCTAAATTTGTTAGCTGGCATTCTTCTATAAAGAAGAGCTTGTCTTTTTTTTCCTCTCTTCTTTTTTCTCCTCTCCCCTGCCCCTTTTTAAAATTATTGTTGTCTTACGGATTTCCTTTTAATTCAGTGTATTGTGATCTATCATGATTACGTTCTTTTTGATGCCCAAACTGTCTCAGATTTTGCCACTGGACACACTTCACATCCTTTGTGGCATGGCCTCATTAGTCTTTCTGGTACAGCAGGGTTTATTTAGGTTTAGTTTTAGGTTTATTTCTAGCTTTTTGGTGGCTTTATTTGTGTACCATTAGAAAGCAAGTTTGTATTAGGTAGTTTCCAAAACAGTTTCAGCCTGGGAGAGCTTCTCCCAGGCAATTGTTAAAAATGTACATTATCTAGAAAAGAAACTTTATGACAGTTTTTGGAGTCTTTTGTTAATTAGTCCCAAGCTACAGTGATTGACAATACCAGATTTAACTAGCTTAATTTATATAGCTGGCACCTTTGAGAACATCATACATGTTAGTAAGATTGCTTCATCATTTTCATTGTGTGTGTGCTTGCGTGTAGGTGTGTGAGAAAGATAAGCAGAGAGATAGAGACAGAGAAAAAATTGTGTGTGTGTGTGAGACAGAGACAGAAACAGAGAAAGACTGCAGAGCATAAGGCGTGAAGTCTCGTTGCTGATGTTGAATAATAGAGAGATGAAACACTAAAGCCCTGCCCTTCAGAGTGCTGCCTGCCACGTTACCTTGGACGGTTACAACAGCAAGTTACTCTGCAGTCTGAAGATTTTTCTGAGCTATTTTTCTTTATAATTACCTTATATGGTATAGAAAAGATCAAATGAAGAACGTAAGTGTTAACACTGTGAAAAACTATAAAAGGAATTATTGAGGTACAGTTCGAATCTGTTTTCAGTGTCCACGTTTGTGTTTAAAGCTTAAAATCACATTTGTACAAAAATTTCTGTTGTTCCTTCCCAGATCCCATAGAAAGTGTCATATATTTCAATTCTGTGCTACATCAAACATTTTTGAAGAGATTTATTAACTCCTTCAAAATCATGAAATAAACAGATTTCTAGGCTCAGTCTTCTCTGCATGTCCTACTTCAACCTCTGCCCCTTCTGGCTCCTTTTTGTACCACTGGAAGTTTTTGGGGGTCAACATATTTATAATCTCGTATATGTGAAGTACCAATTTCCAGATAAGCCAAGTTACTTCCACAAGAAACAACCTTTGTTATAAATCGCTGCCACTAGGTTTTAAAGCATTTTATCATTTTATGGGACTAAGCTGAACAAACCAACTCTAAACCTCAGTTTAAAACCTCAAATGTAGTGTTATTGGAATGTTTCTGTTATCTTATTGTGATTGCAGAAATTACGAATCCCCTTAACAATGTAAAAATACACTGTTTTGCTGAACTATACAGAGAAATGGCTGTGGATGTTTTACTACTGTCAGCATAAAACATTTGAAGGTTGAGTGCCTAATTTAATCATAAAAATTAAGCATACAAGTGAAGAGGGACAACATTCTTGAAGACTCACCATTGGAAAGCTTGAGGGGAATGTGTGGGGAAGGATGGTTTGTTTTTGTTGGGGAAAGAGTTCAAATTATTATAACTGGCGTTACATTGTAATTTCTTTTAAAAGTTAGTCAGTCCTTTCCCTTCATTCTGACTGTATTGACTGTGTTCAAAGTGACACCTTTGGTCACATAATAATAAGCATTGCCTAAACTGTATTCTGTGTCGGTGAGTGCTGTGGCATACATAACACTGCCTCATTCAGTCCTCACGACAGTATGAGGGTCACTCAATATTTTCATTCCCATTTGCCAGCTGAAGTTCAGATGATAATTTTGGAAGGAAAAGTCATTTATAATTAGTGTGTTACAGCTAAAAATTTTTACCAACTTTATCTTAAAGTTACTGATTGCCAGACATACTAGCAAGAGAATTTTTTTAATGTATATGTTAAACTTTCAAAAATAAGTATTAGTTTTTTATATAATCTCATGTCTGTATATTTTAGTATGTTTTAAAATATTCTTTATACTTCCAAGCAGATCTTTAAAACAGGATGGATTAGTGGTAGTAATCACTGAATCTTGATCTTTATATCAAACATTTTAGAACATAGTGCACATATTATAGAAACCAGTACCGTTTTAATAGTTACTCTCTG